TAAAACATATGAGCTAAGTATATTTTTGGGAGTAGTATTGAGCACCGATATGGGGATGCGAGTTCATATTAACTCAAGTCTCCATAAACCATGTAGCCATCATGGGTATTAATGGGTCATACTTTTTAGATGATCACATAAGTTAAGCTAGTGGATCCACTAAGTTAAGCGTTCTATATGACGACAAATTATATGACAGTTCTGACAGCGTGGGCAATATGTTGTATGACCACTTAGGCTAATAGTGGTGGTTGTTGGTTAGAGAATCTCCCACATAAACTATATTACTTTATTATATAAGTAAAGTTGAGTTTGTTATTGCATTTTCTTTAACGAACTAAGTTGTTTTTACTGTTTTATAAAGTTTTCCATATATTGCATGTGTATTGTTGCTTTATATTGAGTTGAGTACCCAGAGTCGAATATCATATCTTTGAGTTGAGTATCTAATCTCTGAGTTGAGTATCTTATCCTTGAGTAAGTTTGAGTAGTTTTGAGTATTCTTGAGTATTCCTTGAGTTGAGTAAGTTTGAGAAGAAGTAAGTATGTTTCATTTTTATCAAGTTTCAAGCTTATGTTTATGCTTTAGAATTCCTCTTAACGTACTGAGTCATTTGGCCTGCATCTTTTCATGATGCAGACATAGGTATTTAGGATTATCAACAGGAGTTTCGTTGATACATCCGAGAGTTCGAGTTAGCTATGGTGAGCCTCCTTGCTTCCTGAGGATTTCATTTACCTTTCAGTTATATCAGTTGTTAGGATGTCGTGGGTCTTGTCATGACTTCCATCTTTATCAGTTAGAGGCTTCATAAATAGTCAATATAGTTGAGAAGTCTGTATTATTTATCCATTTATTTTATTAAATGTTTAAAATAGTTGCCTATTTTATGGCGAATTGAATATATTATTTTTATTCTAAGTTGTTCATTTGAATTAATATTTTACAAAGTTGAGTTTGTTGAATTTTATTTCAATTTTAAGCTTTTGCATGCTTAAGTTAGTCTTCCGCTTGTAATCAGCCAGGATGAGGGTTCGCTTGGAGACCATCAATGGTTCTTGAGTGCCGGCCACGTTCAGGGTGTAGACTCGGATCGTGACATCTTGGTTATAGAATAGGTTATTGAAAGTGGAAAAAGCAAGTTTATTTTTCAAAGTTGGAAATAGTAGTACTAAAAACAAAAAACAAATGCGATTAGACTTCTATTAGTTTTCATGTTTGGTAGAAAAAAACATGTTGTTTGACAATTTTTTACAAAGTAGACTTTGTACATATATACTGAATATCCAATACACATGCAATGCAAGCCTTATCAGATGGGCCTAGTAGGCTACTACTCCATGAGATAAGCTAAACTCCAATGTCTGATAATTAAGCCTGAATTTCATGCATAAATTCTTTAAATTCAATCATTCATTTTTAAAATATGAATCTCGGAAGTTCGATCCATATAATGCTTAGCTTCAAATACGTATATATAAAGATTTTAAACTTCAACTCTATAATAATGCTTAAATAATATTTATTTCATCTTATATTAAATGTCATCTTAACAAAAATGAACTAAATTATCTCTAACTAAGAAATGTCTCTAAAAAATTAAACATTATTAAGAAGATGGAGTATAAGGTTGTAGTTGGAAAAACATATTAATTATTGTCTTAAATTTTTAAGATAATATTTATTTTAGAATTTTCTTTTTATTAAGATAAACACTTATTTTGAAACGGAAAATTGATTATTCATGATCTTCGCACTCTTGTAAGTCGTAAAACATGTAAACGTGTGTAGTGATCTGTTATACTGGAAAAAAATTATAGTATATAAAATATTGAATACAAAATTTTAAAAAAGAATTACACGTCATTTAAATCTTGATCCCAGTACAGAACACATATCAGTATTGTTGAGTTTTCTGTTGTTTATTACGTTTACCAAAATATATGACCAATTCAGTTCAATTTCTCAATTTTTCATTCTTAAGCCCAGCAGTCAATGGTCAAAGCTCTCTCCTATGAAACTATAGCTAGTAATTCTTGAAGAAATCAAAGTCTTAAAACACGTTATATTATTATGTCAGTATAGAAGTACGTACATTAATATATAGAGCTTCTTATATATATATGTATGTAATGGAATCATATTCATAAACAAAATATATAGAGCTTCTTCATTCAAACATTTTTACAACAAAATCAAGCATGATGTTAACTCAAAGTAACAATTTTTCTTCTCATGATGTTCGTATGATGATCATATTATTACTAATTTTTTTCACAATTTGCTTGAGCCAAACAAGTGAAGCAGGAAGAGTACTAAAGGAAAAAGACAAATATCTTTTATTACCATCTCTGCAAAAAACTCCGGTCCCTACTCCTACACCCAATCCAGGTACTGGTGCACGTACGACTAGTGTCATGAGCCAAATTACAGAAAGGAACTTTGCAGGTCATAAAGAGACGGAAACTCGTCCTCCTCCTCTTCCTTCTTCCAGTAATATTACACAACATAAGGTCACAGATAAGGCAGTTGGCTTATTTGCTGCTCATTGAAGATATCTATCATTATTATAATATAAGCAACAGTACTGTTGTAAATTATAATTATTTTTATTTAATTTATTCCTATATCATTTCATTTATTTTAATTAAGTATAACGAGATGCTAATATATGGGCTTCGATATATCAATATGTACTCTTTATGTTTCTCTTCTTAACTTTCCGCATGAAGCAATGACTTCATTATATAGTCATGACTTTTCTATTTATAGATCGACATTGGACTTTACAATTATCTAATCTTAGTAATATAACTACTTCTAAGTTATTATGTCAATATTTAATTATTAATCCTACGTTAATTAGGCTCTACTATATATATGCGTTCGGTTTAATTTCAAAATGAATAAACATGTAAAAGGTTTGCTTCTGCGTCGTCTAAACATAATAATGCTCTTTTTGTGGCGCCCACGTCTACTACTCGTGAATAAATGTCTATGATAAACGTCTAGACAACATGATATATAATTAAATAACTCATTTTTGTAACATTATTTAATTAAATCATATACTTTTTGAGAATAATTAATGTGTCTGCACATGAATATGTTCGTATTCTGGATAACAGGAACAATTTTGACTAATCGTCACTTTATTTTATGATTTTTGGAACAAATATATATTTACATGATGAAACATATTTCTTGCTGCAAATTTTCAGATATTGCGCAACGAATTATTAACCTTGCAGATGATATATGTTTTATATATTAAAACTATTCAAAGTATAATCAATGCAAATTTAATTACAAGAAAGGCCTCATTCACAATAATTAATTTGCAAGGTTTCAATGTTTTATTTTATGTGTGTTAATTTCATTAGATATTTACATTAAGAAAATACAAAAGATTGATTTTTTTTATAGGATTTATTGATAATGAGTAAAAGTTTTCCTTTAAAACAAATTTGACTTCAAAAAGACTGATTTGCAACAAAAATTTCGTTTAAAGAATGTTGTTGACCCAAAAAAAAAGTGTTAGGCTCCTCGTGATTCTTGCAATGATCGCTATATTTTAATTTGAATCTGTTTAAAAAGAAATAAACTCATTATTTGTACAAACTTATACATACAAATAGTAATAAACAAGAATTATATATTCTCTAACGTATCGTGAATGTACAATGAATTCATCAAATGAAATTAATAACTCAAGTGAATAATGTACATGTTGTGCTTATCATAAGAAAAATCCAGTGTAGTGAGGGGCGTGCATGTCTTGGTTTTTTTTTTTTTTCCCTCTCTCTCACTGTTTTCCTAAGTTTTTGAATAAATAATTGTCTCATAATATAATTTTTTCAATTCCTAGGAACACGAACGAGATCACTGAGGCTCTCAATTAAGAAGTGATAGATTTCAACCATCTCACCATAACTCATGTTAGATTATTGGTGCGTGTCTAATTGTTCTTTTATATTATTTTTCATTTCTTTTATTTTGTTTTCTTAAATATGAACTAAATAATTTTGTATTAAGAAAGTCAAATATTCTGACTACAATTTGAATTTCATCAAGGAAAAAAAATATAAAAGTCATTAGCTTATTTAGAAAGATTTAATATCTATAACTTTTATATTAAAAAAACAAAATCTTTTGAAAACGTGAATAAAACTTGTATCCTAAAACGTTTTTTTCTTTCAATTTTCACAAACAAAACTTGCTAAAAATAAAATTAGAATCAAAATGTACCAATTAAACCTAAGAGAAATATCAAAATACTAAAATGGTGTTAAAATTAACGAGTACTATCAAAAGCTACGTGTTTATAATCTTAAAAAGATGTGTATAATGGATTAAAATACTTTTTAAATTTTGTAATCTTAAAAATAACACTTGAAATATTGAAATTAAAAAGTTACGTGATGATGGTGCATAAAATAATTTTCTCATATTTATTTGCATATAACATGAGTAAATCAGTTTCTCAAATTTTCTTTGTTCAAGCAGTCAAATATTTTAAAAGAAAAAAGGTTGAAGTCTATTAACATCTAAAAAGGTTCAAATCCTATTATAACAAAACCATATTAATTAACAAGCCTATGAATCCAACAAAATCAAGAATGAATCCTCAAAATACCTAACACTTTTAGCTTGTGCCTATGAAAAATTAACAAGTCTATGGTTAAAAAGGTTAATGACTTCAAAGTTTTTATTTATATATCATTAAAAAAATTAATTCCTATATAAGTTTCTCCTTAATTAACTCAAAACACAGTCAACGGTCAAAGCTTCCATGCACCAAAAAGAAAACTTGCTCCAAGAACAAAGACTTGATTGTTTGTAGAAGTCACAAAATAGTTGTTTAGTTTCAAATTTCATGTGTATAAATAGATACATACTTGTTTCACAATGACACATCAATCTTTCTCATCATCCTCATTTTAATACAATTGTGCAAAAACATTAACAACCTATAGATATCAACAGTTGTAATAGTATCATGAAAACAGTCCTCATCTTACTTGTTCTTCTTGTTCTCTCAAGGATTGAATCAAATGAAGCCACAAGAAATCTTGATACTCATCTTCTATTGCCATCTTTGCATACCCGTCCTCCAGTTAAGACTCCAGCACCCGATCCAGGAACCGAGGCCAATGTGAATATGGCAAGCAAGTTTAATGAAAGGAATTACTTTGTTGGTCGTAAAGAAGTTGTTGTTTCTCCCCCTCCTCCTACCAATGCAAATCCTCTGGATAAAACACATATTTTATTACCACTTTTGCAAACCCGTGCTCCAGTTAAGACTCCATCACCCAATCCAGGAAGCGAGACTAGTGTCAATATGGCAAGCACGGTTACTGAAAGAAACTTTCTTGGTCGTAAAGAAGTTGTTTTTGCTCCCCCTCCTCCTACTAATGCATATCCTCTTGATAAAACACATTTTCTATTACCATCTTTGCAAACCCGTCCTCCAGTTAAGACTCCATCACCCAATCCAGGAAGCGAGACCAGTGTGAATATGGCAAGCACGTTTACTGAAAGAAACTTTGTTGGTCATAAAGAAGTTGTTTTTGCTCCCCCTCCTCCTACTAATGCATATCCTCTTGATAAAACACATTTTCTATTACCATCTTTCCAAACCCGTCCTCCAGTTAAGACTCCATCACCCAATCCAGGAAGCGAGACCAGTGTGAATATGGCAAGCACGGTTAGTGAAAGAAACTTTGTTGGTCATAAAGAAGTTGTTTTTGCTCCCCCTCCTCCTACTAATGCATATCCTCTTGATGAAACACATTTTCTATTACCATCTTTGCAAACCCGTCCTCCAGTTAAGACTCCATCACCCAATCCAGGAAGCGAGACCAGTGTGAATATGGCAAGCACGGTTAGTGAAAGAAACTTTGTTGGTCATAAAGAAGTTGTTTTTGCTCCCCCTCCTCCTACTAATGCATATCCTCTTGATAAAACACATTTTCTATTACCATCTTTGCAAACCCGTCCTCCAGTTAAGACTCCATCACCCAATCCAGGAAGCGAGACCAGTGTGAATATGGCAAGCACAGTTACTGAAAGAAACTTTGTTGGTCGTAAAGAAGTTGTTTTTGCTCCCCCTCCTCCTACTAATGCATATCCTCTTGATAAAACACATCTTCTATTACCATCTTTGCAAACCCGTCCTCCAGTTAAGACTCCATCACCCAATCCAGGAAGCGAGACCAGTGTGAATATGGCAAGCACAGTTACTGAAAGAAACTTTGTTGGTCGTAAATAAGTTGTTTTTGCTCCCCCTCCTCCTACTAATGCATATCCTCTTGATAAAACACATCTTCTATTACCATCTTTGCAAACCCGTCCTCCAGTTAAGACTCCATCACCCAATCCAGGAAGCGAGACCAGTGTGAATATGGCAAGCACGGTTACTGAAAGAAACTTTGTTGGTCGTAAAGAAGTTGGTTTTGCTCCTCCATCTCTGCAAAAAACTCCGGTCCCTACTCCTACACCCAATCCAAGTACTGGTGCACGTACGACTAGTGTCATGAGCCAAATTACAGAAAGGAACTTTGCAGGTCATAAAGAGACGGAAACTCGTCCTCCTCCTCTTCCTTCTTCCAGTAATATTACACAACATAAGGTCACAGATAAGGCAGTTGGCTTATTTGCTGCTCATTGAAGATATCTATCATTATTATAATATAAGCAACAGTACTGTTGTAAATTATAATTATTTTTATTTAATTTATTCCTATATCATTTCATTTATTTTAATTAAGTATAACGAGATGCTAATATATGGGCTTCGATAGATCAATATGTACTCTTTATGTTTCTCTTCTTAACTTTCCGCATGAAGCAATGACTTCATTATATAGTCATGACTTTTCTATTTATAGATTGACATTGGACTTTACAATTATCTAATCTTAGTAATATAACTACTTCTAAGTTATTATGTCAATATTTAATTATTAATCCTACGTTAATTAGGCTCTACTATATATATGCGTTCGGTTTAATTTCAAAATGAATAAACATGTAAAAAGTATCTACAACCTTAAAGGCATAACTTAAGCAGTGGCTTCAAAATCGGATATTCGTGCACTTCAAGCTAATTAATCGGTCCTTAACTCTTAAGTTTAGACGATTAATATAACGCACTTTCATTTTATGAATTTATTCTTCATTAAAAAAAATAATCAAATTTTGAGTTGATCAGGCATAAGCAAATACACATATAATTGTATTTACTTATCATTTGTAATAATATTGTTGTTCACAACGATACATCTAAACAACATGAGGATTATATTAACACCATTTTTCCTTCTTCTTCTTCTTTCAAGGATCGAAACAAATGAAGCAGCAAACTGGCGCCCGGTTCGGTCTCCGGCACCCCATCCGGGAATAGCCCCAGCCCACCTCGGCCGGGAAGTGGAGTTACTGAAAGGAATTTTGTTGGTCGTAAAAAAAATTCTTTTACTCCTCCTACTTATAAACATAATAATGTTCCTTTTGTTGCGCCCACGTCTATAAACGTCTAGAGACAACACGATATATATAAATAACTCATTTTTGTAACATTATTTAATTAAATCATATACTTTTTGAGAATAATTAATGTGTCTGCACATCATGAATATGTTCGTATTCTCGATAACAGGAACAATTTTGACTAATCGTCACTTTATTTTATGATATTTGGAACATATATATATTTACATGATGAAACATATTTCTTGCTGCAAATTTTCAGATATTGCGAAACGAATATACCTTGCAGATGATATATATTTTATATATTAAAACTATTCAAAGTATAATCAATGCAAATTTAATTACAAGAAAGGCCTAATTATTCTCAAGAATTAATTTGTAAGGTTTCACTGTTTTATTTTATGTGTCTTAATTTCATTAGATATTTACATTAAGAAATAGAAATGATTGAATTTTTTTATAGGATTTATTGATAATGAGTAAAAGTTGTCCTTTAAAACAAATTTGACTCCAAAAAGACTGATTTGCAACAAAAATTTCGATTAAAGAATGTTGTTGACCCAAAAAAAGTGTTAGGCTCCTCGTGATTTTTGCATGATCGCTATATTATAATTTGAATATGTTTTAAAAGATATAAGCTCATGATTGTACAAACGTATACATACAAACAGCAATAAACAAGAATTATATATTCTCTAACGTATCATGAAAGTACAATGAATTTATCAAAATGAAATTAATAACTCAATAAAAAAAGTACTAAAATAGAGAATTATTTTAAATTTATAAATTCTGAATAATTATTTATATGTATTCAAACTTCAAAGATTTCTTAATACGAATAAAGTATTTTCACAAAATTTAATATTATATTATGATTTGTGAGTGATATATATGTATGAAAAGTGGAAACTAAACGTGAAAGGTGCAAAGTGAATATGTGTTGTGCTTATCATAAGAAAAATCCAGTGTAGTGAGGGGCGTGCATGCCTTGGTTTTTTTTTTCTCACTGTTTTCCTAAGTTTGTGAATAAATAATTGTCTGATAACGTTTGGTATTCAACACTATTCGCATTTAAGTCTAAATGTCTAATTAAGTAAAAATTGCATACCATAAAACTCATTTCTAGGGATGGTGCACTCATAATATAAATTTTTCAATTCCTAGGAACACGAACGAGACCGCTCAGGCTCTCAATTAAGAAGGGATAGATTTCAACCATCTCACCATAACTCATGTTAGATTATTGGTGCATGTCTAATTGTTCTTTTATATTCTTTTTTATTTCTTTTATTTTGTTTTCTTAAATATGAACTAAATAATTTTGTATTAAGAAAGTCAAATATTCTGACTACAATTTGAATTTCATCAAGGAAAAAAAATATAAAAGTCATTAGCTTATTTAGAAAGATTTAATATCTATAACTTTTATATTAAAAAAACAAAATCTTTTGAAAACGTGAATAAAACTTGTATCCTAAAACGTTTTTTTTCTTTCAATTTTCACAAATAAAACTTACTAAAAATAAAATTAGAATCAAAATGTCCAAATTAAACCTAAGAGAAATATCAAAATACTAAAATGGTGTTAAAATTAACGAGTACTATCAAAAGCTACGTGTTTATAATCTTAAAAAGATGTGTATAATGGATTAAAATACTTTTTAAATTTTGTGATCTTAAAAATAACACTTGAAATATTGAAATTAAAAAGTTACGTGATGATGGTGCATAAAATAATTTTCTCATATTTATTCGCATATAACATGAGTAATTCAGTTTCTCAAATTTTCTTTGTTCAAGCAGTCAAATATTTTAAAAGAAAAAAGGTTGAAGTCTATTAACATCTAAAAAGGTTCAAATCCTATTATAACAAAACCATATTAATTAACAAGCCTATGCATCCAACAAAATCAAGAATGAATCCTCAAAATACCTAACACTTTTAGCTTGTGCCTATGAAAAATTAACAAGTCTATGGTCAAAAAGGTTAATGACTTCAAAGTTTTTATTTATATATCATTAAAAAAATAAATTCCTATATAAGTTTCTCCTTAATTAACTCAAAACAGTCAACGGTCGGAGCTTCCATGCACCAAAAAGAAAACTTGCTCCAAGAACAAAGACTTGATTGTTTGTAGAAGTCACAAAATAGTTGTTTAGTTTCAAATTTCATGTGTATAAATAGATACATACTTGTTTCACAATGACACATCAATCTTTCTCATCATCCTCATTTTAATACAATTGTGCAAAAACATTAACAACCAATAGATATATTGTAATAGTATCATGAAAACATTCCTCATCTTACTTGTTCTTCTTGTTCTCTCAAGGATTGAAACAAATGAAGCCACTAGAAATCTTGATGAAACTCATCTTCTATTGCCATCTTTGCATACCCGTCCTCCAGTTAAGACTCCAGCACCCGATCCAAGAACCGAGGCCAATGTGAATATGGCAAGCAAGTTTAATGAAAGGAATTACTTTGTTGGTCGTAAAGAAGTTGTTTTTGCTCCCCCTCCTCCTACTAATGCATATCCTCTTGATAAAACACATTTTTTATTACCATCTTTGCAAACCTGTCCTCCAGTTAAGACTCCATCACCTAATTCAGGAAGCGAGACTAGTGTGAATATGGCAAGCACGGTTACTGAAAGAAACTTTCTTGGTCGTAAAGAAGTTGTTTTTGCTACCCCTCCTCCTACCAATGTATATCCTTTTGATAAAACACATCTTCTATTACCATCTTTGCAAACCTGTCCTCCAATTAAGACTCCATCACCCAATCCAGGAAGTGAGAATAGTGTGAATATGGCAAGCACAGTTACTGAAAGAAACTTTGTTGGTCGTAGAGAAGTTAGTTTTGCTCCCCCTCCTCCTACTAATGCATATCCTCTTGATAAAACACATTTTCTATTACCATCTTTGCAAACCCGTCCTCCAGTTAAGACTCCATCACCCAATCCAGGAAGCGAGACCGGTGTGAATATGGCAAGCACGGTTACTGAAAGAAACTTTGTTGGTCGTAAAGAAGTTGTTTTTGCTCCCCCTCCTCCTACTAATGCATATCCTCTTGATAAAACATATTTTCTATTACCATCTTTGCAAACCCGTCCTCCAGTTAAGACTCCATCACCCAATCCAGGAAGCGAGACCAGTGTGAATATGGCAAGCATGGTTACTGAAAGAAATTTTGTTGGTCGACGTAAAAAAGTTTTTTTTGCGCCCCCTCCTCCTAGTAATGAAAATCCTCTGGATAAAACACGTCTATTATTACCATTTTTGCAAACCCGTGCTCCAGTTAAGACTCCATCACCTAATCCAGGAAGAGAGACTAGTGTGAATATGGCAAGCACGGTTACTGAAAGAAATTTTGTTGGTTGTAAAGAAGTTGTTTTTGCTCCCCTTCCTCCTACTAATGCATATCCTCTTGATAAAACACATTTTCTATTACTATTTTTGCAAACCCGTCCTCCAGTTAAGACTCCATCACCCAATCCAGGAAGTGAGACCAGTGTGAATATGGCAAGCACGGTTACTGAAAGAAACTTTCTTGGTCGTAAAGAAGTTGTTTTTGCTCCCACTCCTCCTACTAATGCATATCCTCTTGATAAAACACATTTTCTATTACCATCTTTTCAAACCCGTCCTCCAGTTAAGACTCCATCACCCAATCCAGGAAGCGAGACCAGTGTGAATATGGCAAGCACAATTAGTGAAAGAAACTTTGTTGGTCGACGTAAAGAAGTTGTTTTTGCTCCCCCTCCTCCTAGTAATGCAAATCCTCCGGATAAAACACATCTTTTATTACCATTTTTGCAAACCCGTGCTCCAGTTAAGACTCCATCACCTAATCCAGGAAGCGAGACCAGTGTGAATATGGCAAGCACGGTTACCGAAAGAAATTTTGTTGGTCGTAAAGAAGTTGTTTTTGCTCCCTCTCCTCCTACTAATGCATATCCTCTTGATAAAACACATTTTCTATTACCATCTTTGCAAACCCGTCCTCCAGTTAAGACTCCATCACCCAATCCAGGAAGCGAGACTAGTGTGAATATGGCAAGCACGGTTACTAAAAGAAACTTTGTTGGTCGTAAAGAAGTTGGTTTTGCTCCTCCACCTCCACTTCCTTCTACTAATGCATACCCACAAAATAATGTCCTTTTTGATGTGTCCATTGCTACTACTCAGAAATAAGCTTAACATGTTTGACAAGAAGAACCTCCTTATTTGTAATATTTTTTAATTCATTCATACACTTAACAAAGAATAAATAAAGGCTTACATTCTAATAGTACCTGTGAGAATCTTTCACATAATAGGTGTATATTAAAATTCAATTCTTACTATTGTTTTGTTTTTGTTGTATTGCTACATTACACAAATTACTTGGACAGGTTGTTGGTGTGGTGGATAAAAAGAAAAATGTTGATCAATTGTATTTGTTTAAGATATATTTGGAATTATTGTCATGATAAAGCGTTTTTAGTTTCTTATCTCAAATGTCAGTACTGCGCATAATTATCGTTGTCATCCTTTAAAATGCAATTGGACTCTTCAAAAATGTCATTAAATGTGTATTGAATCCTCCAAAAACAGTACAGTTTTGGAGGATCCGATACGGTGTTATCAGTTATCATCTTTTAAAATACAATATGAACTCTAGTATGTTGCTCGCAGTCTTCAAAAATGTCATAAATGTACCAAATCCTCCAAAAATGAGACAATTTTAGAAGACCCGACACATATATAACCATATTTTAAAATAATCCGAGCAACATATTACTACACATTTATCGTAAAGATGTATGTGAAAGCCTTGGATTAGTAAGACTACAGGAACTAGAATGTATAGTGGTGTAGAATGGACCGACACCGAATTATTCATTCGCGGTTTCGAGTTCAAGTCTTGAGAATGAAGAAAATCTTGTTGGGACTTGGGAGCATACTCACCCCAGATGGGCCCTACAATGTGCGATATGAATTTAATAAGGGCTTCAATGTGGCTCCGAACATCGAATAGGAAACCAATGTAGACTCTGAACACCGAGCAAAAAAAACGAGAAGATATGATATACACTCTCAAAACATAAAGCAAATTGACAAGCTAAATATTGACATTCATACGCAAATTCGCAAATAATCAACGGAAGTATAATAGTCTGACCACTCTAATAATAATCACCAAGTGAGAAATGTATACCTTTCTGACTTGAAAATTCTTTCAATAGCATAGTAGAGATTTTTAATTTATGTGTTCTAAATAAATTATTTATATATATTAATCAGACTTTAAAGATGAATAAAGAATTTTGTATAATTATTTTGTGATAATAATATAATTGTTTCTATATTATATTTAGCATCAATAATATTATAAGGTTATTTATAACCAACACTCATAGAAATGTTACTAGATTTTGGCGACTCTGGATACAATGACATTAACTCAATTGTCATTAAATGTTTTTTTGTGATAATACTAATATAAAAATTTATTGCTACTAAATATCTCTTTTGTTATAGTAATTTCTTAATACGAATGTATAATTTTGGCCAGAATTATTGAATTATATACTATCCATAGCTAGAACTCAGACTATAAATATATATCTTTTATAAAAATAATTTTTAAATTATTTACTCATATTTATTTGGTTCGTTTTTCTTGTTATTCGAATCTCAAAATTAGCGCGTATTCCGTATAAGTCGCTTTACTTATTATTCTCCTACCACATGAATTAATATATGACCCATTCAATTTCTAAATTATTTTTTCTTTGTACAAACCTAGAATTGTCAATATATAGTCAAAATATTTTTAAAGGAAAAAAAAGTTCCAAGTCCTAATAATATCTTAAAAGGTTCAAGTTCAACATCTAAAAAGGTTCAATTCCATTTCTATGCAATTCAAAAATGTCCATGGTCAAAGCCTTAAACAAAGATTTGATTGTTTGTAGAAGTCATAAAATGGTTGTTTACTTTCAAAATTTCATGTGTATAAATGCACATATTTTTGTTCATACAATACATTAATCTTTCTCATCATCCTTGTGTTAGTATAATTGTGCAATAATAATATATTACCATAAGACTTGTAGAAATCAAGAGATTTCTAATTAATAGTATCATGAAACCATTCATAATCCTATTTCATATTCTTCTTGTTCTTTCAAGGATTGAAACAAATGAAGCTGCAAGAATTCTTGATGATACTCATCTTCTATTGCCATCTTTGCAAACCCATCCTCCAGTTAAGACTCCAACACCCAATCCAGGAACCGAGACCAATGTAAATATGGCAAGCACGGTTACTGAAAGGAACTTTGTTGGTCGTAACCAAGTTTTTTCTCCTCCTCTTCTTAGTACTAATGCATACCATCTTCATGAACCTCTTTTATTATCGTCCTTACAAACCCGTACTCCAGTTACTACTCCATCACCCAATCCAGGAACTGGCAATAGTGTGAATATGGCTAACAAAGTTACTGAAAGGAACTTTGTTGGTCGTAAAGAAGTGTTTGCTCCTCCTCCTCCTTCTACTAATACATACCATATTCATGAACCTCTTTTATTACCATCCCTACAAACTCGTGCTCCAGTTATGACTCCATCACCCAATCCAGGAACTGGCAAGTGAATATGGCAACCAAAGTTACTGCAAGAAACTTTGTTGGTCGTAAAGAAGTTGTTTTTGCTCCTCCTCTCCCTTTTACTAATGCATACCCTCAAAATAATGTCCTCTTTGATGTGTCCGTTGCTACTAATCAGAAATAGGTTTAGCATATTTGACAACAAGAACTCCTAATTTGTAATAGTATTAAATTCATTCATTCACTTAACAAAGAATAAATCAAGGCTTACATTCTAATAGTACCAGGGAGAATTTCTCACACAATAGGTGTAGATTCAAATTCAATTCTTACCATTGTTTTGTTTTTGTTGTACATGCTACCATACACCATAATTTGTGTATGGCACAGGCCACAACATGCTTGGACAGGTTGTTGGCCTAGTGGATAAAAAGAAAAATGTTGATCAATTGTTACTCCAACCCATGGAAAATGTTACTGTATTTGGAAAAAGGTATATTGTGGTTGACATTCTACAGCACCAGGTCATGAATAACTATTGTTCAAGTGAGAAAAAAAGGTTTCTGGTTTAAGAAGGGAACAAGCACTCTATATGTTGCTCTGACTCTTCAAAAATGTCATTGGATGTATGTGAGTTGAATCCTCCAAAAGTAGTGCAATTTCAGAGGATCCAACATGGTCAGGTGTGACAATATTTTCGAATAATCTAAGCAACATATTGAATGGTTATATAATGGTCTAGAATAGACCGATTCCAAATTCATTCCCTCAATCATCAGTAAAGCAGCTAGAGGATATAATATAAACTCTCAAAACATAATGCAAACTGACAAGGTAAACATTGACGTTCATACGCAAATACTAGACGAAAGTATAATAGTCTGACCACTCTCATAATAATCAGCAGTAAACAAGAACTAACTCACATCAACTACAAACAGCATACATAGCATGATCAACTTAATTGTTGAGCAGCTGCAGGTTTTCATTCTAATTCTAAAAGCAGATACCATTCTCGGCCAAAACTTACATATAGATTATATAGTCAACAAAATATAATGCAAACTTACCAGCTAGACATTGATGCTCATACACGAATAATCGAGCAAAGCATAACAATCTGACCACTGTGATACTGATCAACGGGTCTTTAAAGCGAAACTGCTAGCATTTAACTACAATCAACATACATTGCATGATTAGACCTTATTCTCTGAACACCTAAATCATTTAGACAGAGCAGCTGTCAACTTTTCCTTCAAATCCTCAGCAGCAGGGCCAGGAGCTCGTATAGAGAATGTGTGTACAAGTTCGCCGTTTTCTGTTAATGAGACATTGGATTCTTGTGGCACTACTTGATGTTCCTGAAATGTCTTCAAAACTCTAGAAACAGGGTGAGCATTCAAAGGGCAGCCTACTCTTACAACTGCATCATCTTGTCTTTGATGAAAATCAATCTCCGGGATAACCTGCTGCTTTTGCTTGTCGCCTACCATCTCCTTCTCAGCATCTAAAACCCTAATTTTTGCCTGGAGATCCGTGATATAAGCAATTGCATCTCCAAGCAGCGATGCTTTATCCATCTTTGAGATATTTGGAACAACTGCTCTTAAAGCATAAAACCTCTGGTTAAGCTTCTCACGCCTTTGCCTCTCTGCTTCAACATGATTCAATGCTTCTTCCCTCCCATTGGCAGGCTTTCTGCCCCTCTTTCTTGGTTTCCGTTCATCTAACTCTTCCTTGTAAAGTTTCCCTTCACCTTCATCACTTCGATACCCATTTGATGAGTTCCCATAAACCTGAGAACTACCTAGTGCTGCTTGTACTTCGTAAGAATCTGAAGCAAAACTCAGCTCTTCTTCCATCTTCGGAGAAAAATTTATGCTGATGGGACCTGACTTAGCACCACCTAGACTGAGTTCCCGACCAAATATCTTTGGAATTGCTTTGGGCTGCGGAGGATTAGATACCACCACCGATGTTTTCACCATCTGAATCAAATTCTGATCTTCCGGAATAGACTTCACAGAACCAAGCTCCACAACCCCTGATTTCAGCGGAACAAACACTAGTGTCTCGAATCGAGCCAACTTTGCTAGATAAGATCTTGATTGGAAATGTTCTAAGCAACCTTTTAAATCAGAACCCCATATTGATCTAGCAGAATTAAATGATTGAGAAGGACTAGAAGGCTTATCAAATGGGAAGATATAATACATTGATGTGAGATAAAACACCTCCACGTCCGAAACAGATTCCAACTTGGCAGCAATATTATCGTCTTCTGACCCTCCAAAGCAAGTGTGTATCTTTTGAAGAACCATTTTTTTCTTGTTTCCGTCCATCATTTTCTGATGCGCGGAATCATTTCCACCTTCACCTTGCCCTATCTTTGCTTCTCTGCAATGTCCATCGCCCCATATTAAAGCTGATTTTCCTGATTTCGACTTTGCAACTTGCCAATAGATTGCATAAGTCCAATCAGACCCCTCAACAATCTTGCAGAGCGCCTGCTGCACTCCCAAATCCCCCCTTGATGAAGTAAATTCTGTCAGCATGTGATTTGAAGCTGACCAAGAGAAAAATTCTACTGCTTCGCTGCCTAATACCCCCTCCATATTAACCTTATCCTCTCCCTTCAGAAAAAATTTCTCCGCCATGTCAAGCCACTCAAAGATCCCCAATTCGAAAGAACTTGAACACCACTCTCTTCTTGGACCACTACTTGGAGAAAATTTATCCTTAAGAAATCAATTCCTCATTCAAGTCCAATGCTGGAATACTATGACATAGCACTCCCAGAATCATGAAACACCCTAGAAAAACGTTCTCAAAAAGATCAAATTTTTACCACAAATTCAAGAATTTGACTATCAATTGAACCACAGGAGAAGACCCACAAAGAGAAAAACAGACAACTCTTGAACAGAAGGCCCCCTTTTATCAACAAAGAGTAAAACACTCAAAAAATAGGGACTTTAGTAGTCCAATAGCAAGATTCATCTCTAAAGTTCAAAGCTTTACTTCACCAATTACAAGTCTGACCAAAAAAACTACATCAAGAGCTGTTTTATATAAGTCTTTATACCCTTCCAGCTCACACAAAAACCCTAGAAAAGACCCCTTCTCAAAAAGATCAAATTTTTAACACTAAACATACCACAACTTCAAGAATTTTGAATACTAGTTAACCCACAAAGAGAAAAAATAGAGAATTCTTGAACAAAAGGGCAATTTTATTATCACATAGAAAAACAGAAAATCCCAGAAAAATTGGGACTTTGGTAATCAAAGAGCAAGATTGATTCACCTCTAACGCTCTAACCTTCAAGACTTCACTTCAGCAATTACAAGTCTGATAAAAACAAAACCCCTGCATCCAAAAGGCAAATTCATGTTAACTTTTTTTTGTATCTCGAAGGTGAAAAAGAAGAAAAGGGGGAATATAAACAAAAACAAGTAGAAGTAATCAATTTGGACATGAAAGTAAGAGTTACCTGGAAGATGGAATAGGTGCATGTACCATGTATGTGTATAAAAGAATGCTCGTTTTTCATGTGGACTTCATCAGACACTTGTGTTCAAAGTTAAGAATTTTAGATCTGAATCCACACACACAAGTACATAAGTGAATATTTATTTATATTTATGGGTGGAATACGTGCCCTTTTTTTTCTTTATAGGAGAAAATAATAATACTAATATTTTTTTTTTGTATGATTTAACAAAAATGGTAAAAGTATATTTTAGGTTACTATTTTGAGTTTTAACAAATGTAGTGTGTGGGTCTTATGATGAAAATTTATCGATATTGATTACGATAGCGATAGTGGTTGGTGGTAGATTATATAGTAGATTTTAAAAAATTGATCTTTAATACTTTTTATCAATTAATTAGAGTAGTTTTATATTCATTCACAAAACTTTACTTTATTTTTTTCAAATATTTATATATAACTTCAAGTTTCAAAAATCACAATTTCAAAAACTCAAATTTTCAAGTTTCAAAAATTGCAGCTTCAAAAACTCAATGTTTTAAGTTTCAAAAGTCAACTTAAGTTTAATGTACGTCAGGATTTTGAAGGAGGAAATGAAATCTCTATTTACAATTTAAATTTGTTTTAAAAAATGACATTTTCAAATCGCTCTTACAAGTAAAATGAAATTAAAAAAAAAAAAAAAAAACAATATAGTTTCATGAATGTGTTGCATGTTAAGTTTTTAGGATCAAGGACCAACCATGATCACACTTTATATGTATTATAAGGACTATATTTATCAACCTTTATATTTGAAGGACCAAAATAGCCCAACTCTCATACATTAAGGACCATTTTCTCCTGTGGTACCAAATTGTTAAACAGAGGTTCAGCAAAGTTTCAGTCAATTTTTCTCCTTTGTGCTGCAAAATCTTGGATTTAACCTTGTTCCAATTTGCTGTCCTAGGTTGTCCTCGAACAAGTTTTCATCATGAAGCGTTTCTTGAAAAAGTTCACCGTAAGTGATTTATGAATTTGTGTAAATTTTCCAAGTTCTCATTTTTTAACCCCAGAAATTGATAGTTTGGTTTAATTCTGTCTTGCAGGTTGGAGGGGTTAGGGAGTTTTCTATGCAAAATTCAAGAAATCCAAAAACCCAAAGCCTCAAAATTGAAGGGATTAAAGATATTATAGCAGTTGCTTCTGGGAAAGGTGGTGTTGGCAAGTCCACTACTGCTGGTACTATCTCACTTCACTCTGTTCTGTTTTCTAAAATGTATAATACTTTAATTGCTTCGAGTTTATCTGAACCTAATACTTTTGACGCGGAAGATGAATTTATGTCTAAAAGCTCATTAGAGTTGTCAACAAATAGTAGGTATGAACCCATAATTTAAAAAATGCAATAGGTTCAATGTTCTACGAGGTAGGGGTAAGCTCTGCATATTCTCTATCATTTCCAGATCCCACCTGTGCGATTACATTTGGTATGTTGTTTTTGTTGTTCATTGTTAAATTATTTGCAAGTAACTTAAATCCAGGATCCGCCAATGGTGTAGTTGATTGATTGATAAAATAGTTGAATCATGTCTTTTTGTTGTGGCTGTTGTTAGTATACTTGGTATTGTGATGCCAAAACTTTAGGAGTGGCTGATTGAACTCGAGAAGATGATGATGATTCAGTTGAGGATAACAGAAACTTTGAAATACTGAAGTGAATTGAGAGAGAATGGAAGAAGGAAAAAGAAGTAATGAGCTAAAATTGACTGTGTTCATACACGTCTTAGCAGTCACATTTGAGTGTATTTATACAAAGCATCAAAGCAAGCAGTGGATAACTACCAGAAGAAGTTACCAACTAACTATCAGAAGCACGTACTATCTCTAACAAATTGAGCTAGTTGAAATAAAACTAGATATTTGTGTATTATAATGCAATGAACCTGATGCTTGAGATATTTAAGGTGGAAATGTTGATCATTCTTTTCTTTCCTAGGGTTTCTGATACTGAATTTAACTAGGTGTGAAGATTTTGAGCATTAAATAAAGCATCATATATATGATGCACCAATAGTGTTTAGCATTGCATAATGATTTTAATTTGATTCCCAGTAATTGTTTCCTGATCAATGATCGTATTTTGTTTGCAGTTAATTTGGCTGTTTCACTTGCCAAAAGGTGCCAACTTAAAGTTGGGTTGCTGGATGCGGATATTTATGGGCCTTCAATTCCTTTGATGATGCACCTCAAGGGAAAGCCAGAACTGAGTAACGGTGATGCTTTAACTACCTTCATTTTTATATCAGCTGGTTCTATACTCTGAGATAGTAATGTTATTGGTGCTGTAATTGTTGTTATTCTTTCTAGTTTTGCTTGCTTATTATGTTATTTGGGCAGATAGGAAGATGATTCCTATTGAAAGTTATGGAGTTAAATGTATATCGATTGGATCTCTTGTAGACGAAAGGGAAGCAATTGTGTGGAGAGGGCCTATGGTATGGTTTGCCTACAAATGATGACTTATATTATAGAATTTAGCACATTTATGGTTATAAGTTCAGCTAAAGATTTTACTGCTTATGAGACGCATTGAGGAGGTAGAATTCAATTGTCTAAATCCAATTAGAATCAAATGTACACTTGCAGGTAATGAAAGCCCTTGAACAGCTGACAAGGGGAGTTGATTGGGGGATCCTAGATGTTCTTGTGATAGATATGCCTCCCGGTACTGGTGATACTCAGATATCTATTTCCCAAAGGCTACAATTATCAGGTATCTCAAGAACCTGTGGAAGTACTTCTAAAAGAATTTGACTAAGGAACGATGCCACAAGGATGAAGCTATTGCATCCTGTTTAATTTGAAGTCAAAAAGCACAACAAACTTTCTTTTAATCTGCACCCATCAATAGAAAATTGAATATGTCCATCATTTCAGCCCGTAAGTAAAAATTATTGTTTAATGACTGATGGTGTAATCAGAACGACAACCCTCCACTTTCACAAAAATTAGGTTTCTAAATGTTGAGTATGGCAATTTAGGCTTTTCGACGCTCGGTGGCCCTTTGATTGGATTGAGTGAAATTTAGGCTCGTATAATGCATTATCATATTGGTTGATTAAGATTGAGTTTTAGCATTTTATACAACAAAAGGTCAAATGATGATTTACTTCTGTTATAGTTTCTTGTTTGAGTAAAATCCAGCTGCAAATCATCCTTTCTATCTATTTTCTTAGTCTGTTTGAAAGTTCAGGTTCTGTTAGCATCAGTGTTCATCTAATTGAGAGGATTAAAGAAAACATGGGTTGTAATCAAACATATTCAGCAATCTGTGCTTATGTACCCGTGCTCTTCTAATGAACATTCGCTTAACATTTCAAGTCATTATAGCATAACAGTATTGTGCTATCAAATTAATTCTGTTCGCGACCCTGGACTGTTAAGGAATAATTTATGTTGAGTTTTCTTTCGTGCTACTTTTCTGTGCATTATTATTCAAATTACTTGACTATGCTGGCAGGAGGGTTGATTGTTTCGACTCCTCAAGATGTTGCTTTACTGGATGCTCGCAGAGGGGTTAAAATGTTCTCCAAAGTTAATGTTCCGGTATGATCCTTACTGAGCTTGCTGTGTGCGAGCTTATAACAACAACGAGAGAGTAGGATTAAAATATGGGGCGGAGAAGCATGATTTGTGACTCTCGTTGAGTTAGATGTAAAGTATAAATATGAACTCTCCCGGATAAAACTTAAAAGAGTATATGCCTTATTAGATATATCACTCATAAATAGTGACTTAATGATTGAAATAGCCATTGAACCCCATTACTGGGCCTATATACTTTTAGTGCTTTACACTCGTCTTCATCTTGTTGATGTGGAATCTAATAGAGAGCAAAGAAATGTTACCTAGATCTAGTTGATGGTGACTCCTATATATCAGATGAATGTTCAATATTATTAGAAGTCAGTCTTCATTTTTTTTTCATGTTTCATGGAGTAATCCACACACACACACACTAGATCCAAGGATATGAACTTGATAACTAGATGCAGAGATATGCAATTTCATCTGTTTGGAACTCCACCTCTTCCATGAAAAAAGGGAACACTTGAGTGAAAATATGTTGTATGGAAAGACTGATATCATGTACCTAAACACAAGACTAAAGATCAAAAGGGTAAGGACTCTTATAAAATCGAGCACAGTCATAACAATGTTGACACTGTTACTTCTTTGAACTGGAACAGTTTTGATACTGTTACTCTGAGACAAATTTCAGGCTAACAGTATTAATTGAAGTTGGATTTAGAAAATGCTGTTTCCTTAATTCTTGTTACTGCTACCAACCTGACGTATAAATAGAGAAGGTTTAGAATAGATATACATTGAGATATCATGCAGGTGCATGCTATAGCTTAATGCTTCTATGATATAGTTATAATTAAACAGTTGTACCTAACACAGATATTGGGAATTTTGGAGAATATGAGCTACTTTAAATGCCCAAAATGCAACGAATCATCCTATATCTTTGGTCAAGGAGGAGCTCGGAAAACAGCTGAGGAGATGAATCTGAAATTTCTTGGTGAGGTATGTCACTAATTCTCTTTTCTCTTTTGAATACAAACACTCATGAGCCCTTACTAATAGCTGCTACAGCTTCCCCCCCCCCCCAAGTCACAACCCCAGTTCTTTTCCATGTCTCTATTCGATTGGATGCCTAGAAAAGCTTACTGCAGGCACTTCTAGGAAATCTATAATGAAAGGATCCTTAAAATGGTCCCATCACATTCTCATGCTGCTTCTTTGTTGCCCTTTTTTGTGGCCATTTCTTTTCTGCTGTCACAATCTTTAACTATTTTGTTTAAGATACAATTAGATTGCTGATACCTTTAGTCAACTTCAATTTTCATCATAAATGCTGTGTTAATTGATGT